TGCTGGAGCTGCCCCTTGCACTTGCTACTGGTGCCCAGCACCAGCCCCAATCGCTTGGCACCATCAGCAGGGGGAAACTGTCTTCAAATTAATTTAAATTGGAGACCAGTGTCAGACGGGGACAAATCAATTCTTAGAATCAGAACAACCTCTCCTTCCACAGATCTTGTTAATACTTCAGCTTTGATTATGTTAGGTTGCAATCTATATATATAAAACCTTAATATGCAAATAGACAAAATAGCAGAACAACTGAACAACCAGTCGCTATGATGTATGCTGTCCATCAGGGGGCGCGCACGGAACATGGCGGGTGTTGGCCACTGTGGGATGGTGGAGCAAGTCAGCGGGGGTGCCAGACCAAGGCAGGGCACTGGTTGCTGTCATTGAGGCGAGCCTCTGGTGGTTACTGAAAATTCTTTGCTCCTGCGCACCATGGTCCCACATTGCACTGGCACTTGCTGCCAGTGACAGCCCCGCTCGCACCCACTGCCAGTGCTGGAGCTGCCCCTTGCACTTGCTACTGGTGCCCAGCACCAGCCCCAATCGCTTGGCACCATCAGCAGGTGCAAGAGGCTGCCGGCCCTAATCACCCCTCAGAGTTTTTCCACCTCCCCTAGCTCCTGAGGAGTGACCAGGGCTGGCAGCCACTGCTCTCACCCACAGCTGGTGCCAGAGCCACTGCTCGCACCTGCTGCTGGCGCCCAGCACTGGTCCCGATTGCTTGGCGCCATCAGCGGGTACAAGCAGTGGCTGCCAGCCCCGATCACCTCTGAGGGCTTCTCCACCTCCCCCTGCTCCTGAGGGGCAATTGGGGCAGCATCTGCTACTCGCACCCACTGATGGCACCGGCCCCAATCACTCTTTAGCATCAGCACATGGGAGTGGTGGTGGGAGCAAGGCTGCCGGCAGACAGGGGACCAGGTACTGCGGCGGGAGGGGCTGGGCAGAGGCTTGAAGGATGGGCTGAGACCCACCTTTGTGCCCACCTCAGCCTCGCGGCTCACAGTTCCTCTCAAGGTACATGAATTCGTGCACTGGACCCCTAATCTTTTGATAATGAATCTAGTACCATTACAAAGACCCCATTTACTATTAAGATTTCTCAGTAGCATGATGATTGCACCTATTTTCTTTTATTTATTTATTTATTTATTTATTTATTTATTTATTTATTTATTACAAAGGGTATTACATATGTGTTGTAAATGTATCACTGCTTTTTTATCCACTCATCTACTGATGGGCTCTTGGGAAGTTGTAAATAACGCTGCTATGAACATAGGGGTGCATATTGCATATATTCTTTCTGATTGGTGTTTCTGGTTTCTTCCTAGAAACAAAGGAAAAAATAAACAAATGGGATGACATCAAAGGGGCTTCTGCAAAGAAAACTGGCTGGTCCGAAAACGGGTTCAGGTAGGACTATTCTGTCAATGATGCCACTTTCTTTCAGCTTCAGAGGTACGTTGTGCCAATAGTTGGTCTTCAGATACATTCTGTCAATGACAATTCTTTCTTAAACTTCAGAGGTACATTGTGCCAATCATTGGTCTTCAGACATTTTCTGTTGATAATGCCACTTTCTTTTGGCTGCAGAGGTACATTTTGCCAATCATTGGTCTTCAGATACATTCTGTCACTGACACTAGCTTCTTTTGCCAGTATAGGTACTTTGTGCCAATAGTTGGTCTTTAGACATATTGCCTCCTCCCTCCTGTCAGGGTCTGGGGTGCGGGTATCAGGTTCCTGCCTCCCTGCTGTCAGGGTGTGGGTTGCAGGTGAATGGGGTTCTGGACTGTCAGGGCGCAAATAGCAAGTTGACCAGAGGGCAATTCCACGAGGAATGGGGCTCTCGCTTCCCTGCTGTCAGGGTCTGGGATGCAGGTGAACCAGATTATGGGCTGTCAGAGCATGGACAGCAAGCTGACCAATGGCCTATTCCATCGGAATAGGACAGCCTCCTTGCTGTCAGGGTCCAGGGTGTGGGTGAATGGGATTCTGGGCTGTCAGGGCGCTGACAGCAAGGTCTGGGTCAGTGCTCGTCATAGCTACCAGCTGGTTGTCTGATTGTTGGTCATTCTGGTCACTCCACTGTTTCGGTCACTAGGCTTTTATTATATAGGATATAGGATATTACACCTCCAGGTGTTCAGACCCAGTGACCCAGGGCTGGAGGGAGACTTGTACCCTTCCCTGCAGTCAGGAGAACCCTGGAAGATGCAGTCTGCCCATCACATTTTCTGTTGATAATGCCACTTTCTTTTGGCTGCAGAGGTACATTTTGCCAATCATTGGTCTTCAGATACATTCTGTCACTGACACTAGCTTCTTTTGCCAGTATAGGTACTTTGTGCCAATAGTTGGTCTTTAGACATATTGCCTCCTCCCTCCTGTCAGGGTCTGGGGTGCGGGTATCAGGTTCCTGCCTCCCTGCTGTCAGGGTGTGGGTTGCAGGTGAATGGGGTTCTGGACTGTCAGGGCGCAAATAGCAAGTTGACCAGAGGGCAATTCCACGAGGAATGGGGCTCTCGCTTCCCTGCTGTCAGGGTCTGGGATGCAGGGGAACC